GTAGGCATAACTGCATAATAACTAGAATTGCTTTATTTTGTAGTGTCCCTTCTAAAGAAATGCTTTATACAGACTTGTGGGTATGACAGTAGGCACCTCAGATTAAGTAATGATTATTCTTAGGTACAAGAAGCTGAAGAGTCCTGCCCATCTTTCCCCTAACTTGCTTAACCAGGGAAACAACGTAATGTTCTCCTGGCAGACAGATATCCTACAATTGCCTCGCTCAAGCTGGTCATCACTTATTTTGGTCCAACTGCTAAGCAGATTTGAGATGTTGCTTCTCTTTTAAAATAATCAGATCCAGTTAATGGTTTTCCCCCTTGTAGGAGTACTTTGGGAATCCTTCTCCACTAGGTTGTTTCAGTAACTCATACTGAAGGCCATCACATGCAAACGTAGTGATTCATTCAGTCATACTCAGCTCCTCAAATATTTTCTGAATACTTGGTGCTAAGGGAAATACAACCAGAAATAATCTTGGTTTTGGGTGGGAGATGCTGGTGGAAGGATAGTTGGTTTTCACTAGCTTTTCAAAAATCACGTGTAAAATAATGCTGGAGGAGCTCAAAACATGTTTGTAATGAGTTTGTGCAGCTTGGGAGATACGGACAAGCTGTTTTCTGTGTGACCTAAAATACAGGCTGCTGAATGGAAACTTTTCATTAATTTTTTTTCCTATGCTCTTTCAGCATTTTATGACACCAGTTTTATTTTTCTCTGTTTAAAAGGGGAAAAAAAAAAATATTGCCATCAAATTCTATGCTATGCTGTTTTTTCTTTTTTAAACAGCTTTATTGGACACTCACTGGGTAATTTAATAATCCGTTCAGTGCTCACGAGACCTCGATTTAAATATTACCTCAACAAACTTCATACCTTCCTGTCTCTGTCAGGACCACATCTTGGTACCCTCTACAACAGCAGTGCTCTTGTTAATACAGGTAAAGTATTCTTTTCAGTAGTATAAGTTTAGGGGAGATTTGTCTTTGAAATGCACTTAGTTTCATGTGGGGGGGCACATTTCTGCATTACTTTGATTATGAGAGAGTGCACATTTCACTGTTGTAAGAAGAGAGAAGAGTTAGAAAGTATCAATAGAAGGATGTGCTAGAAATGGTTGACATAAGCGTTTTGCCATGCCTTTGATTCAGGTTTTCTGTTACATCACAAACAAACTCCAGTTTTAATGTGTTGAGTCCATTTTATTATAAACTGAATTTTAAAATACTTAATCTGCAAAACAAGTAGGTAACGCATTAAAATAATTCTGAATTACTCGTAGTGTCTTTTCTGTCTCAAAAGTGTCCTGCAGTAAACCTTACAACCTGCAGTGCATTTCTACAGATGTGTTTGTACCTTAGGAATGTCTGTTTTTCTAAAGATTAAATGTAGGTCTAGGAGAACTTGTAGAAACTATTGACTTTTGAAATAAACATTAGAAAATATTTTCAGGTTGCATCACATTTTTAAATTAAAACTTGTTTCTGAGTTTACCACTTACCTTGGAGAGCCCAAACCCAAAATGAGTAACACTTATTTTCACTAAATATAAACATGCTCATTAAACTCTTTTAAAAAAAAACACTCCAAAAATCATGAATTACTTTGTTTAGTGCCCGTTTGTTTATTGATGGTTTTATTATTTTGTTTCATACAAAAATGAGGAGGAAAAACTTTTAACTCCCATGTGTTGAGCTTAAGAAAAGTGGACAGGAATTGCTGGCAAACTGGAGTTACTGTTGACTTTACAGAAGCAAGGGGAACATTAAGAGCTCTTTGGATGTGGTTTGAAATGGTACCATTTATAGCCCTCAATACACTAGCAGTGAGGTTCACTTCAGGATTAAGGTTAAAGCTATCAAAGTATAATCCAGAATATATTCACTGAAAAAATAAGGATTTCTGGAGTATTTAATCTCTTTTATAGTTGAAGACTGTACAAACTATCCTTTTCATATAGTAATCTTCCTCTACATTTCAAACTCCTTAAGATTTTGGAAATACCAAGATAATAACAAGTAATAGGTATTGAAGACTAAATTACAGTATTGTGTGTATACATTAATGGCCTTCAATAAATTCCTTCAGTAAAAGATAACTATTTCCTTGAGGGTTGAATCAAGACATTCTTGAGGCTGTAAGGGCTTGGTTGCTTGCTTTTCTTTTGCTTGGCAAGGGAGAGAAGATTTTCGGA